TCCATGGGGCCGGGGCTTCTGCCTTGTCCTTATTTCCAGTACAGAAAACACTAAATGGTTTAAGACAGTCTTGTTGAACAAATACATGAAAGACTGCCCCACTACCGAGTCCACAGTACCAAGATCAATTGAACAGTATTCCTTAAACAAAAAATTATTAGATCAGTATGTTGCAGAGTGGAGGTGTGTCTTGGGTATGGGGCATAGAAAGGTCGTAAATAAGGCTAAATGTGTAAAACACAAAACGTTCTTTTCCCTTTATTATCAGACAGAAATCTTAGTTCCTCTGCAATATTCCCCACCCCAGAAAAGGGAGAAAAGACAAAGTACTTTAAAAAGAGGGGGGACACTGTAACCCGGAGACAACTGAATTAACTTTATTCTCTTCTAACTGCAGATTCAAGGTATACAACTGAACATTGCTATTTTTCTTATGAGACTTATAAATAAAAATACAAAAAATGTTCACTACAAAAAAATCTACTGTTAGTAGGATGTAAAAAATATTCTCTTTGCTATAGAAGGCACAAACTTCACTTAGTGACACATGGAGAGAGAAAAAAACCTGCAGCAGTAAATTCATTTTTTCTTTTTTTTCTTTTTTCTTTTAAATCTTGTCAGAAACACTGAAGTTACAAAGAAACGCATCAATCTACACAAAACGAAGGCAGATGCGGAAAGCTGCAACCAGGACTGCACAAATTCAAGTGAACTTGCTTCAGAGAACAGAAAGAAGTGGCAAGCACAACTTGAGGGCAGGGGAAAGGGAAGGGATGACCCAAGGAGGGGGGCAGGGGAGAAGAAGGGAGGGAAGGCAAGGCCAGCAAGAGAGAAAGGGACAGAGGAAGAGAAAGAGAGTCCAGGGAAACAGGAGAGATAAGGAGTAGGGAGAGGGAGGGAAGGAGGGTGAAGAGAGGAGAGAGAGCAGGAGGGAGGAAAAGGAGGGAGAGACGGAGAAAGGAGAGAGGGAGGAGAGGGATGGACAGATTGATTTGTACAAAAAGTAATCAGTAAAATTGAAGAAACAAAATTGGGCAACCTCCTAAAATTAGGCTAAGAGGAGGTGCTGAGGTAGACATTAACTAGAACATTGATGAATTACAAACACTATTCTGTAATACAGAGCAATCGGACTGGCACTTGTGCTGTCACGACATAAGACAAGCCACAAAAACAAACCAAACGAAACATAATACCCAAACCAAAAGGCTTAAGTTTTGCTTGGTCCAGCAGGGCATCGGGGCCCCCAGTGCTATAACTTACATACATATATATATATATTTATCTTTATATATATGGGCGGATGGCATGGTGCACCACCACGGCTTCTTAACCTTACGAGGATCATGCATAACACTATGTGAACGAATACTATGATACACACCGGGAGGCCGGGACCCTGTCTGCAGAGTGGGCCTCCAGGGCGTGGGGTGGCTGCGGCTGCTGGCTGGCAGGCCCAAGGGGCCTGTGTTCCTCTTTCCTGCACCCCTTTCCCTGACGGGCCCAGCCTCCTTGGTTTGTCCTGCACCCCTCTCTTGGCCATCTCTGTTTTGCCGCTACCTGCCGGTCCCACTGTGTAGGGCCAGTCCCACAGTGAGTCCTCCCACCGAAGTCTCCAGGTAAGTGCCACCAGTCCAGGCAAGCTGGCAGAAGCTCTAGGAAGTAGGAATCGAGACGGGAAGGGGGCAGATGGCAATAAAATAGGCCTAGGAGAAATGAACCAAGGGACTCTCATCTCTTCCGCTTTTCTGTCTCATATTCTCCCCTACCTCCATTTTCACCCTAGTTCAGCTTACCAGGGAACTGGCCCAAAGTCCCTCCGCTAAGGAGGTGCCCAGGGGTTCTCTCCTCCCACAGCATGTGTACCCATACAGAGCGTTCAGAAAGGTACCATACACTTGTGAAAAAATGCAGCAGTTTTTTGTCTTTTTTCTCAACATGGAAAAACTGTTCAGGCACAAGGATTAAACAAGCCCGTGTTGCATCCCTGGATTGTACTGAATCACTGGGTCCCCCAGCCTCCTGACCCACCCCTGCACCCAGATCTGCCTTCCTCATATTTGTGGCCTCCTCCAAAGCAGCAGCGATATTTACTATTTATATCTCTCTTGCTATATATATCTCTCTATATATATATTTGTCTATCCTATATACAAATAGGATTTTTATGCTTTGAATGAGCGAAGGAGTAAATAGGGAAGGAGCACATGAGTGAGGGGTAAATGTCACCAAAAGCATGAAGGGACACACTTGTAGGAGCCTGACATGGGAAAGGGATGCTCCAGACTGGAGAAGGGTCACTGTTCTGGATAAGGCAGTAGCAAGCTGGGATTTTGCAGGACCACAGCTAAAGGCAGCGGGTGGCAGGAGGGGCCAGATGGTAGAAAGGAGAGAGGGGAGCTCATCTGGCAAGGGGGCTACCTCCACACTCCTGGCCTCCCCAAGCCTGTGCTCCAGACGGCTTCCTACCCTGCCCATTCTGGCCCAGAAGGCCTTGGCAACTGGAGAAGAGTTTTGCCTTTTTGGGCAGGAAAGCAGAGAAGAGGCCTACTGGGCTCCTTTGGGGTGTATGGGGTCTCATGGGGAACACAGCAAGTACAGAGCTGCCCCTTCTGGTCTCCCTCCGGAGCTACCCGCTCCTCCTCCTGGGATCTGCAGAGCCCTCCATGCTGGGTGGGCCACGCAGATGCTGGGTTAGTACCATCCAACGCTGCAATACCACATTACAAAATACCTCATAATCTAACACACAACCACATACACAGCAAACGCACACACACACGTACAAAGGGATGATTTGTTATTGGTTGTGATGTTGGTGAATTTTTTTTGTCTTTTTCTTTTTTTTCTTTTTCCTATTCACATTATAAAAGGAAAGGGCAAGGTCCTGTAGAAGTGACAAAGAACTAACAAATATTACAAAAATATTACAATTTGTAAAGATTAGCTCAGCCCTCTCAGCTTTTATGAATGAGGGGACCAGGCTGAGTGGGAAGGGTGGGGTAGCACGGAGCCAGGTAGTTCTATGGAACAGTTTGATTTTTTTTCCCCTTCCCCACCAATGCTGAATGACAACTAGCTGTTACAAAATACTGTTTTCTGGGATTTCGGATCCCCTGAGGGCTGGTGAATCCCTCTTCTTCTCAGACTGGGGGAGGAGGGCATAGTGCATCGTGGTTTCTTACAGACTGCCTCTCCCCCAAAGATTTTACTCTTTTCACATTATGAACAAGACAACTGCTCTAATCACATATTTCAAGTTTTAACTCTTTTTCCTTTCCAAAGCACTAAGTCATTATTATAGTTGCAAAATAGCATCCTCCCGACTTTATCACCCCTAATCCACAGTCTAGTGACACGGCACCCCCAGTCCATGTCCCCCTAATACACACTTTTTAAGGCCTTCAGATTTGGTGGATGAGATTGAAGGGGAGGGCAGGAGGGATGGGGCCGGGGGACAGGAGGGTGGTTACAGCAGCACCCATCCCTCCGACTTCCCAATATCCCTCACAACCCTTCTCCCCCAAACCGCTTCCCTAAACCACTTTTTAGAAACCTAAGATCACAACGCAGCCACAACTTTCTGAGAGAGAGAAAGGAAAGGAAAAAAAAGACTCTTACACATAAAGCATGAGATGAAACGTAGGGCCCATCCCAAAGCAAACACGAGTACTGCAAATGTGCTTTCCAAAAATCAAGGGGGGCGGGACTGGGGAAAAGGAGGGAGCAGAGCAGCAGAAGGGAGGCAAGAGAGGAACAGAAGAACAAGTGGACAAACATAAGAGGTAGCTTTCAGAAGAACAACATCCACCCAACACAACAAAACCAAGGCTGGGTCACCCCAACCAGCCATGAAAATACACGGATTTTGGCAGTGATCATGCACACAGAGGTGGCACCACATAGTCTACAAGAATCTGAGTAGCACAGGCCCTCAAGCCTGAATGACCCTGGAAGTTGTAAGAATGGTGGGTGCTTTCTCTAGAGTGTTTCAGGCTGAACTAATGCTGGGCACAGATGGTCTGAGCCCTGGACAGAACCAACAGTGACTCCTGAGTGCCTTAGGGGGACAGTGAGACCCTAATACATCATCCCCTCTACCTACCCCTCTGCCCTCCCTGGCCCTCAAACTCCAATCCTGAGTATTACAGTCCTTCTGCCAGCTCCTTCCAGCTGGGAGGCTGGTGACCGGGGTGATAGGAGGGCCTTGGCCAGCTGAAGTCTAAAGCCAGCTATTAATTTACTCAAGAAACAAGAGAACATCCTCCCCATTCCTCCAACCCCCAACCCCCCCAAAAGGAAGAAGAAGAAGAAGAAGAAGAAGAAGAAGAAGAAGAAGAAGAAGAAGAAGAAGAAGAAGAAGAAGAAGAAGAAGAAGAAGAAGAAGAAG